TATAACTTTATCCTCAAATCGTACCGTACACATCCTTAACTACATTAACTCAACAAATTTGTTGAGACACTATATAAGCACAAATTTCATATCTTGCAATTATGACATGAAATAAATGCATAAATAATTTATTTTATTTTATTATAAAAAATTGATACAATTTTTTGTATTTTGTCCTATTACAATAGAACAAATCCTCTCATTCAATATTTAAATGAATTATAATCCAACGGCCGTAAAAATTTGTTATTGAATCAAAGCATATCATTATAACACAAGGCTTACAAGCTCTATTATAAGATTGAAGCATATCGTTATCACACAAAATCTAAAATAAATATAATATTGCCCGGAATGAGTTTGATTTCTGTTTTGAGATAAATTTTTAAATAAAAATTTTGAGGAGAGAGTTTAATTATTTTTTTTTGTTTGTTTTTTTATGTGGTTGTATATTTTGAAAATAGTTTTGAAATTTGAAAGTTTGGGATGATTTAATATTTTGTTATAATTGAGTATAAGAAAAGAGAGAGAAAGAGTGATTAATTAGGGTTGGTTTGAGGTGTCTTAAAAAAGTATATTTTTTGTCTTTTTTACGAAAAGATCTGTAGAAAAATAGAGAAGTGATGTGATGAAAAAAAAATAAAAAGATGGATTATATAATCTATGCCAAACCAACCCTTAATGTATAGGAGAGATTTTAGACATGTTTTTAAAAAATTTCAACCAAATAAAATTTTTAAAAATTTTCTTAAAAATTATCTTCAGACGTAATTACATGATTACATTCCCCCCTCTCCTCTTTACACTGGCCTCTATATAGCCCACTACTCTCTATATCCATTTCTTCATCCCCACTCTCACTTTGCTTCTGTCTGCATTTCACTTTCTCTCAGCAATGGCCTACGGCAGGCTCGGATTGTCCGCGCCACTCCTCAACCAAAATCATGAAGCCCTGTCAACAAAAACTCCCAGCCTAAAGTTCCTTTTACTCTTCTCACTCGTCTTCACCGTCGCTTCCGCGCTCCACACCACAGCTTCGGTCGAATCCGAGCCAGCATTGCGCAGAAAGCTCACCCAAGCCATATCCCGAACGTGCGACCGAACTCGTTACCCGACTCTCTGTGTCAACTCGCTGGTCGACTTCCCCGGCGCAACCTCCGCCGGAGAGCGCGACCTCATCCACATCTCCGTCAACGCAACTCTCCGACGCTTCGACAAAGCGCTATACGTCGTCGTTTCCGATTTCAGCAATCTCGCCATGGACGCTCACGTGAGGTCCGCATACGATGACTGTCTCGAGCTCCTCGACGACTCGGTGGACCAACTCACTCGCGCTCTCAACTCAATCAATACGAAACGAGCCGGATCGACTCAGGACGTGCTGACGTGGCTGAGCGCGGCGTTAACGAACCAGGACACGTGTACGGAGGGATTGGGGAATGTGAAGGGGTACGTGAAGGATGGGATGCAGGAGAGGTTGAGGAACTTGTCGGCGTTGGTGAGTAATTGTTTGGCTATTTATTCGGCGGCGAAGGGGAACAAGGATTTTGAGGGGATTCCGATTCAGAATCGCCGGCGGAGGTTGATGGAGGAGAATGATGGTTCGCGGCGGCCGAGTGAGTTTCCGAAGTGGCTGAGCAGGAGAGAGAGGAGGTTGTTGGATATGCCGGTGCAAGGGATTAAGGCTGATATTGTGGTGTCGCAAGATGGTAATGGGACGTGTAAGAAGATTTCGGAGGCGATTAAGATGGTGCCATTAGGGTTGTGTAAAATAAAATCGTATCAATTCGTACCGTTTTATCCGTTAAACGAGGATTAAATTTCAAAATTTATAATCTACTTTTGAAATTGCTCTGCTCCGCTATAATTAATACATATATATTTTTTAACCTCTAATGAAATATCAAAGTAAAAATGAATATGCGAGATTTAAGATAAGAAATTTGTTATAAATTAGTAGTTATATATATGAAAAATATTATATAAAATCAGTTTGTGTTATATATATAAAATATTAATTAGTATTATATATCATGCAAATATTTGATAATTAATTAAGAGTATTCTTCGATCAGTCAATCTTCCGTAAACTGTTCAAATTGCAATTGGATTATTGGTTTATTCGTTATTTGATATATAACTTTATCCTCAAATCGTACCGTACACATCCTTAACTACATTAACTCAACAAATTTGTTGAGACACTATATAAGCACAAATTTCATATCTTGCAATTATGACATGAAATAAATGCATAAATAATTTATTTTATTTTATTATAAAAAATTGATACAATTTTTTGTATTTTGTCCTATTACAATAGAACAAATCCTCTCATTCAATATTTAAATGAATTATAATCCAACGGCCGTAAAAATTTGTTATTGAATCAAAGCATATCATTATAACACAAGGCTTACAAGCTCTATTATAAGATTGAAGCATATCGTTATCACACAAAATCTAAAATAAATATAATATTGCCCGGAATGAGTTATAATAATATACATTGATAAATTTTTAAATAAAAAATATATTTGATTAATTAAATTTATTTTTTGATTCATTTTTATTCTCAATAAACCAAATGTTAGAAAATATTTAAAATAAATATATATTTTTTCTGAAAATGTTGTCAACTAAACTAGCGTATAAAGGCTTACCCTAGCTATATAGGTAGGCCATTTAATGTAATGTTAGTTGAAAAAAAAGAAAAAGAAAATGACGTCTTGTCTGCTAGTTCCGTTCAGGAGTCAACTATACAATGATCACTTGCCAATACCGTGAATTAGTAGTACTCAGGTACATCAATCTTTTTTTGTTGCGCATATATTATATGAAATTATGTAAAATTATATTAAAATATATTTAAAAAATAAAAAAGTTACCATTCATCTATATTTCAAAAAAAATATTACAAATACATGAACAAATTTAAGATTTTCATTATTAATATTAATCAAATTTATTATTAATTTGTAATTTATTTTCAAACTTTCTACTGATTTGTAATTATTTTTAAAAATATATTAAATTTATAAATATTTTAACATTTTATATTCTTTATCAATGTTATGGACTGTTTTGGAAATATAATAAAAAATTAACTTTTGACTTTTTACCAAACTTTTTAAATTTTTTAGAAAGTGATTTGAGAAGTTGGTAAAAAAAATTATTTTTTATTTTTTAGATTAATATTTATTTATAGTGTCACATCACATTAAAATAATCAAAATATCCCTACCCAACTTAAGAAATTCATACCCCAACCTTCAAAGTGTAAACATAAAGGGTAGTTACGTAATTTTACAATCTGCTTTTAGGTCACTTCCCATTCAAAAACACAACTTTGGCGTTTTATGAGATTGCAAAATTCAATTTTTTACTTAGGTTCTCAAAAGGACAAAACACCAATAAATTTCAAATTTTAATTTGTTAAACCATTTGGTCTTGCCTTTTATTTTGTAGACTAATAAGTCATATTTGAATGTTAAAAGCTCATTATAGACCTTTTTTAGATTTCCTTCATTTCCGAACATCAGCAACATCAACTACATCATCAAAACATCATCAAACGTCATCAAACATCAGTAACGTTCTGTTCTTATTTTTTTATCAAAACAAACATCACAACGTCATCAAATATCAACAACGTTCTGTTCATATGTTTTTATCAAAGCAAACATCAGAAACGTCATCAAACATCAGCGACGTTTTGTTCATATCAAAACATCATCAAACGTCATCAAACATCAATATTCTATTATCATCAACGTTCTGTTCATATGTGGTTTTTCTTAATTGTAGGAATCATCATTTGAGGGGTGCAAGAGAAATAGTGTCTGTGCGGGGAGCAAATATTCAGGCAAGCCCGCACTCCATTCTTCCAAGCTCCGCTCCTATCCGGTCACCTGCGAGCAAATAACAGTGAGCTACCCGGCAGTGTGCGGCCGGAAAAACCCTCCGACGATCAAGTTAGCGCACACCTCAGGATAGAGAGAGAGAGAGAGGAGTGTTTGAGTGTAAGAATTTCCTTACAAAGTGTTCCTGTATCGCGTATGGGGGGGCGCAGACATGCTTATATACCCTTCTGCGCCCCAAATCTACTCTTATTGGTCTCTCTTGAGGTTAATTTTTTTTTAAAAAAAAAACAAAAAATTAGAAAATTAGGATTAGCATATCGGAGCTCCTACAAGCCTTAGGGGTTAAAAATCCCCTTTTACTTAATATATAGTATAGATTTGTTTTGGAAAAGATACTGCAGCAATTATGAGAGAAGTTAAAAAGTCTTGTGGGTTGAGAGAAATTAATAAATGTTGAGGTTAATTTTTTTTTAAAAAAAAAACAAAAAATTAGAAAATTAGGATTAGCATATCGGAGCTCCTACAAGCCTTAGGGGTTAAAAATCCCCTTTTACTTAATATATAGTATAGATTTGTTTTGGAAAAGATACTGCAGCAATTATGAGAGAAGTTAAAAAGTCTTGTGGGTTGAGAGAAATTAATAAATGTTGAGGTTAATTTTTTTTTAAAAAAAAAACAAAAAATTAGAAAATTAGGATTAGCATATCGGAGCTCCTACAAGCCTTAGGGGTTAAAAATCCCCTTTTACTTAATATATAGTATAGATTTGTTTTGGAAAAGATACTGCAGCAATTATGAGAGAAGTTAAAAAGTCTTGTGGGTTGAGAGAAATTAATAAATGTTGAGGTTAATTTTTTTTTAAAAAAAAAACAAAAAATTAGAAAATTAGGATTAGCATATCGGAGCTCCTACAAGCCTTAGGGGTTAAAAATCCCCTTTTACTTAATATATAGTATAGATTTGTTTTGGAAAAGATACTGCAGCAATTATGAGAGAAGTTAAAAAGTCTTGTGGGTTGAGAGAAATTAATAAATGTTGAGGTTAATTTTTTTTTTTAAAAAAAATAAAAAATTAGAAAATTAGGATTAGCATATCGGAGCTCCTACAAGCCTTAGGGGTTAAAAATCCCCTTTTACTTAATATATAGTATAGATTTGTTTTGGAAAAGATACTGCAGCAATTATGAGAGAAGTTAAAAAGTCTTGTGGGTTGAGAGAAATTAATAAATGTTGAGGTTAATTTTTTTTTTTAAAAAAAATAAAAAATTAGAAAATTAGGATTAGCATATCGGAGCTCCTACAAGCCTTAGGGGTTAAAAATCCCCTTTTACTTAATATATAGTATAGATTTGTTTTGGAAAAGATACTGCAGCAATTATGAGAGAAGTTAAAAAGTCTTGTGGGTTGAGAGAAATTAATAAATGTTGAGGTTAATTTTTTTTTTTAAAAAAAATAAAAAATTAGAAAATTAGGATTAGCATATCGGAGCTCCTACAAGCCTTAGGGGTTAAAAATCCCCTTTTACTTAATATATAGTATAGATTTGTTTTGGAAAAGATACTGCAGCAATTATGAGAGAAGTTAAAAAGTCTTGTGGGTTGAGAGAAATTAATAAATGTTGAGGTTAATTTTTTTTTTTAAAAAAAATAAAAAATTAGAAAATTAGGATTAGCATATCGGAGCTCCTACAAGCCTTAGGGGTTAAAAATCCCCTTTTACTTAATATATAGTATAGATTTGTTTTGGAAAAGATACTGCAGCAATTATGAGAGAAGTTAAAAAGTCTTGTGGGTTGAGAGAAATTAATAAATGTTGAGGTTAATTTTTTTTTTTAAAAAAAATAAAAAATTAGAAAATTAGGATTAGCATATCGGAGCTCCTACAAGCCTTAGGGGTTAAAAATCCCCTTTTACTTAATATATAGTATAGATTTGTTTTGGAAAAGATACTGCAGCAATTATGAGAGAAGTTAAAAAGTCTTGTGGGTTGAGAGAAATTAATAAATGTTGAGGTTAATTTTTTTTTTTAAAAAAAATAAAAAATTAGAAAATTAGGATTAGCATATTGGAGCTCTCATAAGTCTTGAGGGTTAAAAACTCCCTTTTGCTTAATATATAGTATCGATAGATGTCTTCTTTTTTTTTTCCATTTTTTATATTATATTAAAGTTTAATATTTTGATAATAATCATATGTGTTAGACTTTTCAAGAAATTAAATATTTTTTTTATTATATTATATTAATGTTTAATATTTTGATAATAATCATATGTGTTGGGCTTTTCAAGAAATTTTTTTATGCTTATTCTTAATGCATTAAAGTGTTATTATGATGGATAATAATCATATGTGTTGGGACTTTTTAAGGAATTCATATGTGTTGGATTTCAAAGAATTTATTTTATGCTTGTTCTTAATCCATTAAAGTGTTATTATGAGGGTAAGACTTGGGAGTTGGAAGAAGTTAATAAATGCTAAGATTTTTTTTTTTTTAATGTGTGTGTTGGAGAAGTTAAGTTTTTTCTTTAAAAAAAAATCAAAAAAATTAAGAAATTAAGGTTCAAATATTGGAACTCCCACAAAACTTGTAGGTTAGAGATAGATATAAATAAGTAGATAGATATAGATATGGATATTTATATTTGTTTTAAATTGTTTTTAATATACAAATTATTTGTTTTGGAAAAGATACTGCAGAAATTATGAGAGAAGTTAAAAAGTCTTGTGGGTTGAGAGAAATTAATAAATATTGAGGTTAATTTTTTTTTTTAAAAAAACAAAAAATCAGAAAATTAGGATTAGCATATCGGAGCTCCCACAAACCTTGGGGGTTAAAAACCCCCTTTTACTTAATATATAGTATAGATAGATGACCGTTTGTCTATAATATTAATAAATAATAATTTTATTTGTAATCATTTTTTTTTTGAAAATTAAATCGGAGAATGTACATTGTAA